TCAGTATGGACACAGGAGCAGACAAGTGCACTTTGCTAGGGTTACCATTTCAAGCCTTCTGCTGTGTTTCTCTGTATACAATTCCTGCTCCTTACTGTTTCTGTATCTCCAGTTCAGCAGATGGTACAAGAAACTGGAAAAGGACCATAGAGTTCTCCATTTCTTGCTCTTGCTCCCCCCATCTTTGTAACAGGATGAATCAATTTAATACAAAGCTTTTCTTCCTTCCTAACAAACAAAACCACATCCTTCCATGACAGAGAGGATTAATGCAATCTAGCTTTATGCTGTAAGAAAGCTGAGGGTACACTGAAAGACAAACTTTAGCACTTTGACTTCTTTCCTCCCCCACCTACTTGGTCTGGTTTCTGGTCTGTCTGCCTTGAATAAGGAAAAAAGGCTGGTGATGAGAGTCTTTCACTTCTGCAGGCTTTAGAGCTACAGAGAAGGAATGATAATGGAAGTCATACTCCTTTAGTGCCTGCAGAATAAGGAAGATGGATCTCAAAGAATCCTATTAATTTTTAATGTTAAATATTAATAGGGTCACTCATATAGCTCTGTGATGTAAATTTCACTGTTCAGTAGTAGGTCTCACATGATGTCTGTTCTGCAGTACAAGTCCTGTGAAGTCTGTGGAAAGGAACTGTGTACACTGGGAATAAATAAGACACTGTCTGCATTGTATGTGAAGCTGAGGTGAGCTTTGAAAGACTTCAACAAATGCTGACCTATTACTGGTGAACTATTCTAAACATAATGCAAACCTTGAAATAAGGAGCCCCTCTTTATGCTTTTATGTAGACAAGTCCCTTACTACTGGCCAATTGCAATGTTTAATGATTGATTAGTGAGCAAAACTTTGTGCTACAGCATCACTCTGATAGAAATTTTGTGTATTAAAGAGCAGGGTTGGTGTCCATCACTCTGTGACACAGTAACTTTTTTTTTTTTTACAGACAGACGCTAAAGGAGTTTTTAGAAATTGACATGTATTAGCAAGTGTTTTAGGTGGGAGTGGAGTGCTATTTTTCAGTTACTATTTTACCTGTGGGCCAGGGTATGGGTCAGTACATAGTTTCCTTGCATCCATCAGAATAAATTACTGCAGAACTGTAGTTGAAACATAGTTTCTGTTCACATAGTAGATGTATTGCTGTTTTCAAATCTGATTAACAGGATGATTTTTCTTTTAAGTATTTCAGGTGAAAGCCTTAATCAGGTGCCTGCCCCCTAAGGCAGACTCGTGTGGTATTGTATAGACTGGAACATGACTGTCCTTCAAATTTCCAAGTTTAAGAAACTGTAATGAACAGAAGAAAGCTCCTGTTAGCTAAAGGGCAAGAGTGGATTAGATTGGCTTGACCTTGCTCCAGTGGCTCTGGCTAATCACTTCAGGTGTTTGCTTTAGCTACTTGCTTCTTCTGAGTGAAGTATTTCAAGTGGTCCTGATGATCAAACAGTAGGTATAGGCAGGGGGTGTTCCAGATGTATTGTGAGTGCAAGTCTGGCTGAAATAACACCACTCATTCCAGTGGCCTTGCACTGTTGTGCTGACACCATTTAGACCTGCATTATGCATTTATAATTTTACTTAACAAAGCAAGTGCTATTCTGGCTTGATGTTTGCTCTCCCAGAGAAAGGTGGAGATGGCCCCTCTACAGCCAAGATGAACTCCTTGGGAAATTTAGTATTTTTGTGTCTCTGAGCAGGTGTTTACTTGTATCACAACCACTCTCCTTCAGTGGTGCCGTGGCCCTTTCTGCTCAAGAGCAATTCAGTTAAGCCCAGAAGGCTACTGAATCCCCCATAATCTCTGCAGAGCAGAGTTTCCCTCCAGGTCAGGGTTGAGATGGTGCTAGTGGGACCAGAGCGGTCCACTTCCATGCACATCAGTATTCTACTCCAGCACTGATGGGGTGCTCCAAAACCATTTACATCTTTATCACTGGTACAGCTCAGAACTAAGAAATCGAAAGTTTCTCTCTTTAAGAACAGTATCATGTGTGTCTTTTTGTAATTAATCAGTGTGGTTCTGTGTTCTTACATAGCCAACACAGAATTTTTATTTAGATTTAGTTTTTACTGCACTTCCCATGGCCCTCATGTTGATACTTCTGCTTCCTTTGACACTTGGACAATAAAATTCCCTCTGTACTGCTCTCAGCTTGTGCAGAGCAAACAAGTTGTCTGTACTGTCCTTCTTTTTGCTTTAAACCTACCTATTACATGTCAGCTGAAAGTCAAAAGGCCAGCCTTGAGTGATGGTATCAGGTAAATTATGTAAAGATGTCCTTTACTTGCTACACTAGTGGACATGGAAGAACCTTCATCCTTTAATCCTCTGAACAGGTGAGTGTGTCTGTGCACACAGAGGCAGTTGCCAGAAGAAGTAAAGAACATATGTGGCTGTTTAGCAAAGGCCAGAATTCATGTTTTCCCTCTTGAATTGCCATCAGTCAGGCTGGATTGAAAAAAAAAAAAAAAAATCAGCACAGGCAGCATAAAAAATTTCACTCTTACAATACTGCAACAATACTGTAAGGGTTAATACAAACTTCTTCTTGCACTGCTCAACTTTTCAATGTACAATTCAGTCTCCCTTCCTGGCCTGAAAAGCAATTCCCCTCCAAGTCTGTTTAGTGACCTTCCCGACTAATGACCTCACCAGGACTTCTCAAGACAAATGCTGGGTTAATAAAGGACAGTCAGCTGCAAGATCCACTGCAAGGATCCCCAGCAAGGGGATCCAACTTTATTCATGCTATCATCTTTCAGGCATAACATACCCCTTCTCTCTAGGGAAATGAGTAATAACTGGGACCAGGGCCAGGATGTAGGCAAGCCTACAGTGTGTATAGGAAAGGAATAAACATTCTCTGGCCTGTTACTCCAAAGAGAAGGGCACATGCAATAGTCCATCTTAGCCAAGTTAATGATATGAACTGCTTCTGCCCTGAGGGAAAGTAATTGCACAGTTCTAAACATCTGCTTCAGCTGCTTGCTTGAAAACACCCGCTGCTCCATGTCTTACAGATTTTGCTTTAAATCAGGTAACTCCTACATCCCCTATGGGTATATAGATCAGGGTGAAGTGAGAACAGCAAAATCAGTAATGTGGCCACAGACTTTCTGTTCCCTCTTACATGAGACTTTTCCCCTGCAGGTTGTTCCTGCAGTTTTAGTTTTCAAGTCAGTTAGAGATTATGCTGCTTGGATCTTAAGTGGAAAATCTTTATTGTGGGAAGGATAAACAACATGTTGAAGCAGAAAATTAAAAAAAAAAAAAAAAACAAGAAACAAAAAACAAAAAAACACACCCTGTCAGTCTTTTACACTGAGAGGCCCAAGACTTAAGGCTCTCACATGTCTAAAAGCACACAGAAATTCATTCATGAGAGAGTGAGACTGAGCCTTAAGAACACCATTCATGTAGCAACTGCAGGATTATGGCAGGCAAAGGCATTTGACATGCTGCAGATAGCAGGCCATAACAGAATTAAGTTAACTCAGCCAGGTTTGTTTTCCTGGATTGTATTTTTATTTTGGCAAAAGGTGAATGCTAACCCAACTCTAACTTCATTTTAAAGGAGGAGAGGATTAACTATAGAATCACTACAGGATTCATCTACCCCCAGTTCAAGGGCAGCACCAGGCACTGGCTAATAACTGAATATATAGAATAAATATAAGTAGAAGGCTTTGCATCCAGAAAGAAAATAACAAAAAACTGAACAAAATTGTTAAGGCTTGAAGCCAAGGGAGGTTTTTTTGTTGCTATTGGGTTTTTGGTTTTGGTTTTTTTTCCTGGTATGTAGAAATTAAAAGACTGGATGGAACAAATACATCTTTTGTTGTAGCACAAGCCAGTGTCTAGCTTAGTCCTACCATTTGCCAAACTTGGACCTTGAAAGCTGCTGTCTTATTGAAGTTACAAAAAATTTTACAGCTATTATACAAGAGCACAAGAATGTACAGTCTAAAACTGAAAATGAATAAATAAATATTTAAATAATGAAAATAAAAATAACATCAAGACTGACATTTTCAGTGGAAGCTGAAGGACAACTTGCCTTGACAGGAGAAACCAAACATTTACAGCTGACAAAAGGAGTTAGTGGTATGCCAGCTGTTTAAGCTGTCATCTTGGTTATCACTGTAACAGGTGAGCTCCCTTCAGAAACTCAGTATCATACTTAGAAACACAATGCAGTATATTCAATTCAGCTTGTGTATTTCAACATGACAGTGCTATGAGAAGCACTACAGGCCAGGCAGCTACAGTCTGGTAAGAAGCAGGTCACAGCAAGCAATTCAATTAACCTGCACAACAGGAAGCCTGAAAGGAGATGGCATCCCACTAACCCTTGTGTGCTCTCCCTTTAGGTAAGCAACAAAAGGGCTTGTCTGCATTTGGATGACCCATGGATATGTCTGCAAATATCTAAACAGGATATCCAATAAATTTTCTATACTGAGGTGGTGGCAATGGGAGCAGTTACTGGAGTGCAGCAACACCCTGTGTTGCAGACTGCTTGCCAGCACCATTATAACACATCATTAAGAGCAGGACTCATACCTTGATCCACTGAGATGCTGAACTTCTTATGACCTCTTGGAAACTCCTCAGAGAAGACAAACTAAGGTCAAGTATATTTCAGAATTCTGCCTTCACAAAGCAGGTGGTGTATAGAGCACTACCAATAAATCTGAAACTCAGGTGTTTTGTTTTATATAACGTGTTACTCCCATCTGAGTGGTTTCAGAGCTCCCACTCCTCCCACTTAATTCTTCAGGAGTGAGGAAACTCACTATCTTACATCTTGACACCATTCATATGTTGCATTTATAATAACACTTAGCCCTAGAGAATTGCACCCATAACTTTTAACTAAAGAAATACAGCTGCAGAAAAAATAAACATCAGTAACTCAGATAACTGGATAGAGTAGTCATGGGAAAACAGCTGCTGGAGAGCATGGAGAAAGAAGACCTCAAACAGCAGCCAAGTTTCATTTATTAAGAACAGGAAAGAAGCTAGAGCAATTATATTGTTTACCACTCCTCCCATCCCATGTAATTGGGAAAACTGATTATGAAGGGCAGCCTCCTGAAGCAATGAACTTAAAACTGCAAAAACGAAGGAAGTCCAAATTCTATCTAAATAGAATGACTAAATACAGCCTAGCAGCTGTGGTGCAAACTAAGCTGTTTTTTAGCAAAGACACTTAGTCAAATACTTGATTGCCTCAACAGCTGCATGCTCCTGCAGCTTAGGAGGCTGCTAAGAGGGAACATACACACACTGCCAGCAGTCTCTGGCATCACTTGCCCTAAGCACCAGTCTCCCTGAACTCCACATCACTACTAAGGTCATGTAGCTGGTAATTACCTCTGTGACACCTTCCCTTTCTGAGCATTGCAGATACTGCTGTTCTACTTTGATAACCGTTTACAGATCCCTCTGTAATTCATCAGAAAGCTGTGTTAATGAAAATTCATCATGCATTTCGGTCCAGAAACAGTTTTAAGAGGTACATATAGAATCTCAGTCCTGCATCCCATAACAGTGTTCATTACCACAGGCCCTGACTGTATCTGTGGGTGCTGTTCTTAAAGCATCACAAAACACATTATTCTTCTCCCAACAACTATATGCTAGTCGCGATTTTACAGTTAGAAACTTGCTACCAACCCCACCTCCAATCCTCTCCTATAATCCCCCAGAGTCAAGAGGCATTCACAGGTCTCTAGATCCATTTGATATTAACTCTAAATTGCTCTAGAACACAGAGGTTTTTATTTTCCTGAAACAGACCACTTCTGTAAGAGTCCATACCAGAGCTTCTGTGATGGTGGTCAAAATAAACACAGAGATCAAGTCTTCAACTTTGCCTTTGTGTCTCTATAGAGTCACTAGCCATGGTCCCACTTTTCTGCCACACCTTCACCTCTGAGTGCCCAGCACAGCATGAGTAAGCCAGGGCTTTGAGAGCTGCAAGCCACCCTGGGAACACTATAACCTCCAGAAAGAAGAATAAGGGGACTTGTAGGCATTGTCCTGGGGTTTCTCTGCACATGACTCAATATCCAGGGTTCAAAAACATAACAATTCCAAGTGCACACCACATTATTTCATGCATGGAAAGGGAAAGCATTAGTTTGACCTGTGCAACATTAGATTTTCCAGTGAAGTATAGCTGGAGCCTTAAAACCTCCCTGAGATGCTTCCATGCAATTTGCCCACAAGTCAAGGTTTTTGTTTAGATAAAATGGAAAAAGCACTTGTGATACTGGAACACAGGTCCTCCACCTGAGTTATATCACAGGACTGGCAGGGTGCTTCAGGCAGTGCAGGGGCAACCAGTTCATCTACTGGTGTAAGGTGCACACCTTATGGGTCTCCAAAGAGCTCAGTCTGGCTCTCCTATGGGCAGCTTTCATACACACACACTTACACACACCTCCTCAACAACTGACCTCAGACTCAGCCAGCAATTACAATAGAAGCAGATAGCTTAAGTTCTAACACCATGTGTCACAGAATTTTTTGTGGTGCCTTTGGTTGGTTGTTGTTAAACCTTTAGTGTCTTCTAAGGTTCCTATTACAATGTTAACAGCAGGAAGGAGTCATCTGCAACCAGGCTGCCTTCTGGCAACCTTTTTGAGCCAGACAGAAAGCAAAGCTCTCAATTCACCCTCTCCTTCCCTCCCTTTATAAATACAACTGCTTACAAAATCAGAGTAAGAGTACTTGCAGAAATCAGTCAAACTGTGAGATAGTCATATAAATGCACACCTCTGCATCCATCCCTCCTCATGTACCAGTGCCATGCCAGAACTATTACCTAAGGGCCAAATTATTCATACCCCTCCAAGACTGCTGTTCACTTAGAGAAACTCACAAAGGTAGCAAAAGCCATGCACACATCACCAGACAAATACTACACCATCTTGCAGGGCTAGAGGGGAATATGCAGTACTTACATGCTCATAAGGGCACAAAACACAACTCCCTCCCCCCACACACACACCTTGTTTCTATCGTTTACAGAAGTGAGCTGTAAAAGATCAGCAGTATTCCTTTCTTAGAGAGGAGGGCAAGGGTTCCTGAATGCAAATCTTTCTGGGGAGGGAGGTGGGGGATGGAGAGGGCAAGACAAGCCCAATGCCAAAGAAGACACCTCTTGGATTTAGGGATGTCTTGGGAGATTAAATTAGGCTCACTTCTTCCCTCTCTTCAACCCTCATTACTTTGTTGTGTAGCCAATTTGCCCTTTTTCACCTCTCTTGTTGAGCAAGTCTTTCACTTGTCGAGCAATCTTCAGAGGTTCAGCATCCAGAAATACAAGGTGCCGCAGTTACTTTGTGGTATTTTCTTAGATTAGCAGGATTTTATTTTTTAATAAAGAAAGTAACATTTAAAATATCAAAGTCCCTCAATATAGACCATGAAGAACAAATGATGTTTCAAGTCTCCTGTACCCTCCTACAAAAACCTGAGGTGAGACCAGATTTCCTGCTTTGTTTATGAACAAAAGATTGATAATGTTTATACCAATATTGATTTCTGCCAAGACTGGTTTCATCTGTTAAGGAAAAACTGAGCACCAAATGTCAGGCTGAACTGGGGAATTTACTCTAGGAACAGGTACAGTTTGATTGCTTTTGTACTGGCCAAGCCACTGCTTATAGAAGTACGCCAATAGGACACCAAAGGTATGCTGGGATCCAAGTGACTGCAGTCTGGCTCCAAGTTACACAGCCTTCCCCTTCCTCCCAACACATGTCAAGAAACAGGAGTTGAGCCTAAGGGTTCTATCTACACCTAAACACGGGTGGGTGCAGAAGATGCAGCAAGACACAGGAGATAGAAACTACAGGTTAGCCATTGACCCCTGGCAGGCTGAATGCAATAGAGAGTGCACAAAGAACGGGGCAAGTGACAAGATCAGCTCTCACATTTTCATCTCTCTTTTGGGACAGCCAAAGTTATAGTCTTCTGGGGTTATCATGACTTACAGGGTAATTTTTTCTACAGGATATTCACTGGGAGGATCCTAAATATTTTTGCTAAAAGTGACATATTAGGTACCATTCTGAGACTGCCAGAAAGGAAGGAAGCCTTCCCCAAGGCCTCTAGGCTTTTGCTGCAGTTCTACAGATGCTGCTCTGTAGAGCCCCTGGTTCCATTCCTGGCAATTCCATTCCCTGGTCCATTAGTCACAGCAAGCAGTTTCTTGTAGAAACAGTTACACCACACAAATCCTTCTGCCATCAAGTAAGCCTGTACAGATTATTAAGTAAAAGACATTTCTAAGCAGTTAGCAGATCCAATCTAAAAGGCAACGCAACAACACGAAGTACTGAACTATTACTGAGACATTAAAAGAACTATTATTTTGGTGTGAAAAGAGTACTGGCTTATACATTCCATGCTCCTTGGTAGCAATTAAGCTAACCAAAAGCAGAGAGCATTGCCCCTCTCTTTTCCAGCTCCTTGAAGATCTTACACAGGGACAAATAAACAAGGGCATTATGTTGGTTCCTGCAGCTCAAAAACACCTGCTAAACAAGGCAGTGGAACAAGGCTCTCTTTAAGAGATGCTAATGATTGAATACACTTGGCATCCCACTGGGAACACAGCTCAGGTTTGCAAAGATGCAGAAAATACCAATGCAAAAAGCACTCCAACTCTCCAATCCTTGTGTTTAGTGAGGGTGTGAGGGGAGAAAAGGACTTTCAGGGCATCACAAGGAAAAGGGTTTTTTTGCAAGCTGTTGTGCAATCTGCTGTATTCAGAACAACTTTTCTTTAGGGAAAGGGAACCAACACTAACTCTCTCTGAGGCTGGAGATCTCCAAGCCAAAACTAGCCAGCAGACAGAGATGATCAGATGAACAAAAAGGATTTGGTAAGCCATTTGCCATCAAGAGGACATCTTCAGAGAGAAGAGAAAGACGGCCAAGCAGCTTCAGGGCTCCATCCTTGTACAGCCTGCGACCTGACAAAGAAAATGGGAAGAAACATCAGCCAGAGACTGGCACCACAAATTAACTCTGCACACTCACAGAGGGATGTTTGTCAATCCTTTCCTGTTCTTTCCCTGATAAATGAAGACACCCTGCACAAACACTACATGCACCTTTGAGCCTAGATGTGAAAGCAGTGAGCACCCGACAATACTGCTGTTCACAGTTTCATATACTTGCAGGCATAGGAAGCAAGAATACACAAAATTCACCAGGTAGTTGCTTACATGAGAACTACCTTTCTTGAACTGTGGCCTAGCAATAGCTTCAGATACCCCCCCAAGGAGGAATTAATCTCTTCATTCCTAACCTGTTCCCCAAACTTGATTCTGACGTGACCCAAATCAGCTCCAAGAGAGTTCCTGGATGCATTTACATGCAGTCGTTCATCAACAGAACTCCCGTTTCAGGCAGCAGAGAGAAGGTGCCACTGTAAAAGAACGAGAGCCACCTCCTTCCAAGAACAGTATGTGGTCTCAGACAGACCAGAAGTCCATGCCTTGAACTCAGGACCCAGCACTGCCTGTTACCAGGAGCACAAGTAAGATTTTTATACAGAAGAAAAGAATCTATTCTGTTCTAGCTTCCTCAGAAGTCTATGTGGACATACACAGCCTCATTTTTTTAACAGCAAGGATAAACAGCATATTCTCATGGTACATGAGCAAATGTTACTTCCACCTTGTGTATTATTTCAAAGACAGATCCTGTAGATCCACCAGCTTAATGAAATGTACTGCCCATCTGGCCTGTCTCACAGTCTTCTTCCACTGTCACAGGGATAAGTCCTGCACTGCCACTCACCCGCCTTGCTCTCCACAGGCTCTGCTGAGTAGAAAATGTAATCAACAGTGGCTCCAAGCCCCATGGGCATTGTTGTGACCTCTGGGCGTCCCCTCTGTGGCAAGAAGTGGCTGTAGACAGAGGTCAGGTTGAGGCCATGCTGGATAATACCTGAACACCTGCACACAAACAGTCACTGTTTACCAAGAAAGGAAAGAGAATTATGCTTTTTTGGTTCTGCAGTCACAGCTGAATGTTCCCTTGCTGATGCAACTATCTAAATTACTCCTACTCTGTGAACACATAAATTTTTCAGAACTATTCACTCCACTTACACCAAAGCAAGACATACTGTGAATTTCCTTTGTCTTCAATACCCAGTTCTGTATATGCCTATGCCCTACATTCTCAATCTCACCAACACAATGCTGACAGAGCAGCATCCAGCTGCTGGGGCAATCCTGGGGGGACCTAGCTCTTCCAGATAGCTCTCCTTACTCTCTTTCACTCTCACATTTACTTCAGTCTTTACTTCAGCCAGATTTTCAGGGCTCAGAAAAACAAGGCTGCGTTTGAAGACTGTGGCCACTGAAGGTGCACCAAGTTACCTTGGGACGAATGGCTGGGGATCAGGGTCTTTCACCATGGCAGCAGGCTTGGGCCAGTCTGCAGGGCGGTCTGCAAAGGAGCAAAGAAATTCCAGCCAGACCTACACAGATCCCAGAACAGGCTGCTCATCCCAAGTCTGAGAAGCTTCTCTTGAAACCAAATGAATCTTTTTGCCCAAGAAGAGCAGATAGCTTCCAGTCATGAACATCATAAAGGAAAATATCCAAAGGAAACACAAGCTGTAAGACTAACAGGAACATCCCTAGAGCAGATCAGTGCAAACAACTGAGAAGTCATATTCTGTCCTGCTGAGGATATGTCCTTAAAGCATTTAATATTACTGAAATCGTGCTTTGCTCTCAAAAGAAAGTTTGCTTATCTTAGCCTACAGCTTATTCAAAAGGTGTCTAGAAAGGCAGAACAGAAATAGAGAAAGCAGAACCAGCCATGCCACAAGGCCCAGAGGTGCAGGAATGTCTACTGGGTACCAGCTTCCACAGACATCTATATTGTGACCTTCATATATCATTACAGTCTTCAGGTTGTTCTCTGCCACCAAAATCTTGAAGCAGAAAAAGAAATACACGTATGTGTATGTGTTTCAGCTTAAAAGAAGTTTATAAGAAACAGCTTCAGGAAGCTGAATCTCAGTACGTCTCAAGGAACACAATCAGTGTGTATGAGGGAGGAAAGTATACTTCTCTGAGCTCTCATGGAATCTAATCACACTCGCAGAAGGCACCCTTCTGCCTTTCCCTTTCCTCACCAGGCATCACCTCCACCTCATGTTTTCCTTGAAATCATAGAATCATACAGTTACAGAACAGCCTGGGTTGGAAGGGACCTTAAAGATCATCCAGTTCCATTGCTCCATCCCATGGGCAAGGATGTCACTCACTATATCAGGCTGCCCACGGCCCCATACAATCTGGCCTTAAACATTTTTCAGGGATGTGGCATCCATAACTTCTCTGGGCAATCTGGCCCAATGCCTTACTACCCTCTATGTAAAGAATTTTAGGAAGTTTAAAACCATTTTCCCTTGTCCCATCACTATATGCCTGTCCCATCACTATATGCCATCTGTCTCCCTCTTTTTTTATAAGCCTTTATAAAATTTATAAACTTTAAGAACTGGAAGGGCACAATGAGGCCTCAGTGGAGTCTTCTCCAGTCCAAACTCTCTCAGTCTGTCCTCAGAGGAGAGGCTCCATTGAGCAAGGACAGTGACAAATTGAAAAGTCTCCCATTAATACCTGGTTTAGCATCTGTCACACCTTCCAGGAGGACCAGCTGTGGTGGTCGTTCACAGGCAACATCGCAAAAGCGGAACTGCAGCAGGAAGTCACGGCTGTATTCGCGTCTCCCTGCAGAGAAAAGTACAAATTAAAAGAAAGTAACTGCAGCACAGTCACACCCCCAGGGAACACCTACCTATTTGGTAGGTACCTTTGGGCCCCTTAGAGGTCTTTGGTTTGAGAGAGGCTTTTGTGCCCAAGCACTCTGATACCATGAGAACATAAATCACCTAATAACCTACACGTAGAACAGATGTGTAGAAGAACAGAGCACGGCTATTGCTATTCCTCAAATGCAACAGTCATTGTTGGCACAAAGAAAGAATGTCTTCTCTGAGACACCAAAAGTTCAAGGGATTCTCAAGCAGATCAGTTTGTCTGCAACTCCAGGAAATGTCTGCTGAGAAAAACATTTCTGGAGATCAGGCTGAATACAAGTTCTACATTCAAGATTTTAACAAAAGCTATTTTTTGTAGGCTCCATTTTTTTAATCCTCTCTATGGATGCAAAGAACAGACATGATTCTAACTAGGTCCTAGGAATGATTTCTTTACAGTGGTTTGCAAATACTATCCAAAACCATACCCCAAACACCCGGAGATTAAAGCAGTGACTATTGAACATAGTTTACAACTGTACAGAAGTCTAAGCATGGGAATATGAAAGAGACACGTAGAGTAAGTGTTACTGGTAGAGGAACATTCAGGCCCCGACAAGAGAAGGAAAATGGCAGAAATGCAATAGGTTCTGGAAAAAAATGCATTTAATTAATATACAAAGCAGAAGGAGAGAATCTTTTTGTCCAGTGCCTCATGCAGCATATGCCCAAGCTACTCACAGAGACAGCAAGGCCCACAAGTTTGCCCATCCTCAGCAAACTCATATTGTCAGTGCATATTGGAGCTCACCAGGTTTCTTTGGCTGAGACAGGGTGACATACTGGCACTTGTCTGTTAGACCCAGTGAACTTGGCCACAGTGGAGCCAGCAGCTTCCGTGAATACAATTGTTGGGAAAAGTCTTCCTGACCAGACACCTGCAAGAAGGCCAGGAAAGGAGAGCAACCATCAATGGCACAGAGCAGATGTGAAAGCTACAGACAATGTACATATATACACCTGCCAAGAGCAAGACAGGAGAATGCCCTCTTAGAAAGGCATGAACTAAACTATTCAGAGTATGGTAAAGGTATAATAAACTTCACCTGTAGGGGACAGATACAATTAATTAAAAGTCACCTGACAAGATACTTTACAGGTATCTCATTGAAGTGATCATTTAGCTTGAATGATAACCATATATTTGATCACAGACACACCATAAGAAAACACAAAAGACTCTAGCATAAGTACCCACTTCAAACTTTTTTTAGAACAAACATCCACAAAAAAATTTAATAAGTCTTGGTGGAATTGCATTTCCCTACACTTCCAGTCACACAGGCACAAAAGTTCCATAGGAAAGGAAAAAAAAATACTTGACATTAAGTGATCTATTATCACAAGTCTGCCCCAAAAGAAACTGGAAGAGCAATGATGGAAACAACACGCATGCACTTGTCCACTTCTTTCCCCTGCAGTGCTGGAGACATTGGGGAAGACTGCTGAATCACTTAATTCAGTATTAAGACTATTTCCTCACAAGAGGAAGAATGCAGCCATGCATTTCTCTAGCAGCAGACAATAAAGAGCCATCCAATCCCAATTCTGGCTGGCAACTACCTTCCAGGCTGGCATCCCATGGTAGGAAAGTTCACCATTCCGGATGAATTTGTAGAGTGGAGAATCAGGTACAGAGTTCAGGTCTCCACACAAGATGACAGGATAGTAGCTGCCTTCAGTAGTTCTTGCAATTTTGTCAATCTCTGCTAGCAGCAAGGCCACCTGGGCCAGTTTGATATCTCCTCGACGGGGGTTAAACAACACATGAGTGTTGGCCACACACAAAGGACTGACTGCCTTCAGATCTAGACCTTCTGGGAGCACAGGCTGCAGCAGCAGCACCAAGCCCACATTATCCCGGTTGAGGACGTCCAGGCCAGGCCGGAAGTATTCTATGGGGCTGAGACTGATCAGCTGGAACCTGCTGTGCTTATAGCACACTGCACATCCATCTGTCTTCGTCCCAGTTCTCCGCTTGTAGAAGCAAGCAAAGCCTGAAAAGAAACCATCACCTATTAAAAGGTTTATCCAGTCACTACCTCAGGCTCAGCAAGTCTGTATAGAAAAGGTTCCTATGACATTTGGGTACAGCAAGATACCCAATTCTGTTCCAATAATCACCCTTTATAATTAATCACTGGGGGTATTTCCTCTCTCCTTGTCTTTCTAGGGCCCTCTCTTTTGTTACTCTGATCTTTCAACTCGGAGACATCAATAGCAAAAGAAAGGATAAAGGTCTAGGCTGATACTTCAGAAGCAGGGCCAGTAGCCACCTGACAAACAGGAAGAGGTCTCTTGAAACTGAGTGCTTTGAAGATGTTAAGCAGGAAGCACTGCTTGGCCAGTCCCATGAGCTGGAGGTACAGACCCACAAAAACAGGACATACCCATCTCCTTGAATGTTGGTTCCAGTTGCTCCCAGTAATGGTTCTCTTGCACCTCCTGGAGACACAGGACCTGGAAGGAAGGCAGAGACCTCACTTGCTCCACAAATATTTGCTAGTTACCTTGTTTTGGGAAAGGAAGAAAGTGGAAAAGTGGACTCACATGCCAACCCTCCAAATAGAAATGCCATCACCACAACTCTGTCCTGTACTTTCCAGATGAAAAGCACTAACTCTCTGAGTCACATTAGCGTATCATTCAGTTTTCCAGTGATGAGAAAAAAGATCCTTCATCTCACAAAGAGGACTCAAAGAATAGAAAAATTCATGGAGTCCTCTTCTACGCAGGCTTCCCCTCCTCTGCTGCCTTAGAAAATTGGTCCTTCTTCCTCTACTTCTGCTGTTTATAGAAGTTAAGTCCTGCTATCAAAGTATGACTAGTTTCTACAATCAAAGCAAGATAGACACCAAAAATAGACGAGGTCTGTGAAAGTCCTCAAACACTCTCAGACCAATCAGTGTCCAGTTACCAAGCAGCTAGTATCTTCCTAGGACTTGCCCCCGGCTTTTTATTTTCTTAATATTGTTAGATCAAAGAGGGAATTCAAACTCAGGTGACACTTGATGTAGAGAGGGTTTAGTCATACTTACGTCAGGATCCCAATGCTGGATCTCCTGCAAAAGGTTTGGAAGGCGGTAGTTCCAGTCCAGGATGTCTGGATGACAGTGTACATAGAGATCAAGACCCTGCTCCACCAGGTCCTGGGCAAGGATGTTGTAAGACATGACTCGAAATTCAAAGAGGGGAGTGTTTTTTGAGACCTGCTTTAAGGGTTGGACAGAAAGATCCTCCCAGTCTCTCCATAAGATCTCTATACGCAAGAGACAAAAAGGAAAGTTACAGCTGTACTGGGTACCTTGCTGATACTTTGGTTCCCCTGGGACCCAGAAAACAGCCATTCTCATTCCCTAAGCTAGGGTACTCTAGCCTCTGAGCAAACCCTCACCCACTCCGGTTTTCAGATGCTCTTTCTGGATATCTTTGGATAGTTGTCTGTAGGGATGGCATAACACATGACCAGAGTCAAGCATACTGAAACACCAGACCCACTTTTCAGTGCCTTTCAGAGTACAAAGCCAGCATTTGAGAATAGTAAGGAACATATATTGATATTCAGACCAGACAGTCTCACAGAACAGAAACTACTAGCTGTCACCAGCCCCTCCTCAGCAAAAACTCACTTTACAGTTTTCACTAGCAGATCCTGTCAGTTCTGCAGGGGCAATCAGTGTCTTGCTGACAGCAAACCCAGACACAATAACCTGACCACATTCACTACAAATGTCAATCCCAAACTAAACAGTAGATTCAGAACCACCACTGACCATGGTAGGGCACCTCTGTTGGGACAGGATAAAACGGCACCGCATCCTGAATGGGCTGGGCTGGGAGCACTGGTGGCACTGTCTCTGCATCACACGCTAAACTCCAGGCCAGCACAGCTGGGTCGTCATTCAGCACTTCCACATTGATACCAGCACAGCCAGCTGTCTGGTGATCTGTCTGTGGCACCACAGCTGCCCAAGGGGCACTGCCTGCTACAGTCACTGTTTCCTCTGATGGTAATCTTGCCAGTTCAGCCACTGCATGATCTTGCAGTTCTGAAGAAGCCAAGGCATTTAGCTCTGAGTGCTGCTGATCAGCACACCCGATGACTTCCGGAGACGTGTTCAGGTCACTGAGGCTGGTCATCAATAGCTCTGAACCTTCTAACCAGTCACTAGTGAGTGAAACTGATACTCTCCTCACCGCTGGAACACTCTCACCGGCTGGCAAATTCCCTTCTCCTTCCTCCAGCCACTGCTGCAGAAAGGCTTCTTGCTCTTCTGGGACTGATCTTCCTCTGGTTGCAGCAAAGACACCTTCTATCTGGGTGGACGGGCTCTTCGCCAGAAGCACATTCTTTCGATAGGTAAAGAAAGCATCTGTCATTTAAAAACAAAATCAAAATAAGACAGCCAGAAATGCTTTCTTACTCATTCTTTTCTTATTCCAATGCATTTTCTGTAACTCTATGTAATACAACCATTCAGTATAGCAACCCAAACAAATTACTTCTCTGAGGAAACACAGTTACAGTCTAAATAACTTCCCCTGCCTCCTCCAGAATGCTAAGCCACAGTCCAAATCCAGTTATATTAGTCCAAGTCACTGAAATTGCATGTAATAGCAATGGCTTTATCAAATCTAGGGAAGCAATTCTAACTCATGCAGCAGCACAGACAGCCAAGCTGAAAGGCCTTGTGGAAACTACCAGCTCTCAGTAAAGGCACAGTCTCTGAAAGTTAGCTGATCAGGTGCATGGGCTAAGAAGCCAAAGTCTTTGTAGATCATCATTTGGAGCAAGTTTCGTTCTAGGGACCACATAAGAAATAGCAGTCAGCTAAGAGAGTAAAATATATCAAAATAATCAGTTGTAGAAAAAAATTATTATGTTACTAAGAGATGAAAAATGAAGACACATAGGGACCAACATATGCCTGATTAGAGAGAGTATATGTACAGAAGAAGTCCTGATAAGAATTACATATCACCTGATGCCTGACATGTGGGAAAAAAATAAAACCACTTTAAACTGTTTTTAATGTAACATTGAATATACTAATACTTGTGCAGTAAAGTAGAAAGTGACAGCGAATTCTTTCACTTGCATCTATACAAGAGATGGCATTTACGCTTCACTATGAATTCTGCAGACACTTATCCCTACTAGCAATCTTTGTTGATTACAAATCACATTTTTTCTCTGCATTCATGTCAGTCAGCCAGAGCAGTAACATACAGGAGTCAGCAACATTCGTGTATAGTTTTACTATATCTTTTGTGTCAAAGTTTTCTGTATGTGTCAGAAATGGAGCTTTAAGAACCATACTCCTTTCTGTCAGTTCGTAATTAAGTTCATTAGTGCTAAAAATACCAACACACCAAGGTAATGTTTCCACACGCCACTGGCCAGGCACGATGAGTGCCTACAAGAACCTGTTAATACACAATAGGAGCTGAATTTGAGAGGAATCAGCTTGCTGCTGACTATGAAAAAAGACAGCGTGCCAGTCCAGTAGTTGCTACAGGCCCAGGGACAGGTTCAGGCTGGAGGGTGGCTTTACATGAGCTCAGTAATCAGGAACTGTGAAATAGCAGCAGGATCTAGGGAAACTAAGTGAAATAGCGACGCACAGAAAACATAAGTCCATTCACGAAGTCGCAAGCCCTTGGGGGATCAGAGATCTCTGAGCTGCCCATCTCCAAGGATCTCTCCAAGCCTGCAGGGCAAGGTGGGGGCAGGAGCTAGAGCCCCAGCGAAGCGCAGCCTGCCTCTGCAGCACAACCGCGGGCAGCTGTTCCTCCAGACGCGCAGCTGCCCGCGCCGCCCGGCCCCGCAGCCCCGCGCTGCCTCCGCCCAGGGCCGGGGCCTGGGGAGCCGCGGGGCAGCCGCGCCGCCTCCGGACCGGGCCGCACCCGCTCAGGCCGGGGCGGGGGATGCCGAGCGACATCCCCGCCCCTCGGGGCCACCCCCGGCAGCTCCCCCTGCCCTTGCCGCCGCCCGCCCGGGTTACCTCGGAGGGCCCGGAGGAGCCGCGCCGCCGGCAGCAGCACGTAGCAGAGCACGGTGCCGATCATGCCGCCCGGCCCGGCCTCCCCCGTCCCCGCCGCCGCGCCGGCCCCGCCTCAGCCGCGGCCTCAGTGCGCGGGCTCAGCCCGGCGTGGCAGGGCACTCACCGCGCCGGGCCCCGGGGCCCGCAGCCGGCTCGGGCCTGGCCCTGCCCGAGCGCCGCTCCCGGGAGGCCGCGGCCCGCGGTGGGACGGCCCCGGCCGGGGTGGGGCCCTGCCTGCCCCGGGCAGGGCAGGAGCGCGGCCGGGGCCCGGGGCCTGCGGGGGCCCTGCAGCCCTGCTGTGCCTGAGGGGGTTAGAAGCTCTGACCCCGGGCTGAGAGAAGGTTGCCTTATGGCCCCGCCATCCTGAAATTTGTGGTTTTAAGCAAAAATTTTCACCCCCTGTTCTCCAGAAATACAAACAGGACAATTTCCATGGTTTTTTATGTCCCTTGGGAAGCCAGATGTTACACAGGCTTTTTGAACAGCATTGATAATAGCTAAGACTTTGCAAAGCACAACCGCTATGCAGCAGTGGCCATGGGGTGGGTGGGTGCCCTCGGGGTGGGTGGGTGCCCTCACTCGGTGCTGCTGAGAGGGCATCAGAAGTTTGCAAAATCAGTCCTCACCTGGCCATGAGTACTCTGGCGTTTGCAAGTTGAGATCCATCACATGCTGAAACCAGACAGTTGTATAAAAAAAGCAAAGTCCTGGTTGAAGTCCAGAATTTCAATGTTTGCTTCAGTCTGCAATCAAATGTTTTCAACATCTGAAGGCAAACAATTGAGCTGAGCACACTACAGCTTTTTTACACCAAATACACATTTCTCATTCATAATCTCAGTAGCCTTCTTCCAAATTCTAAGTACCTGAAATGAAGTCAAGATTCATATTATGCCTGCCTTTTGCACTGATGACTGCTGCCAAACTGTCCCCTTCAAGGTGACCAGCTGCCATGTCATGGGTCATTATTAAATTAAACATTTGGTGTTGTGCAGAAAATCACACTCTGAAAAGCCAGTGTCCACAAAAGAGACAGAGGGATCTTGCAACTTTATTCAAGTAAAGGGATAAAGTCCACTAGGCCATACCCCATGGGGTCTCTCTCAAATGTATTGAGGAGACAGCCTCCTTTTATCCTAAACTCCTGGCTGCACGTTGCCCTCTTCCTTTCCCCATTAGCTGAGGAAGGTACAGACTTCCCAAACCACCTACTACATATAGCCCTAAAGTTTAGAAGCTCAGATTATCTGGATTCTGCAAAAAATGCAGGTTGATATTCATTAAGACATTAAGGCCCATTTCTAAGACATTAACACTCATTTCTCCTAATATCCCCACAGCCATTTTTCCAGAACCTGATTGATTCTTTCAGCTTGAGTTGTTTATGAAGACATTAAGTCCCATTTCTCCCGTTAGTAATTAGCACAATGAGTGTTCTCAGCTAGGATCTGACATGATGTTAAAATGTATATAAATAACAATCCTACCACTCTTTTTCAAATCCCTATTTTAAAACACCACAGACCATAGAAGCAGGGACTTGTCCCAAATCCCACAGATGTCTCTGGCAAAGCACTGGACCATGGTCTCCCATCTCCTGTTGCAGTAACAAATCCATCATTGGTTTCTAGTCAGAGAATGGAGGGTGTTCTCCAGAGGAAGGATCTGCAACATTACGAGCTCATGACTGGGTCATTTAAAACCTGGCTGTTCCCTAAAAGGAAAGAGCTAAGAAAAGATCTTCAGACCCAACCCACATCAGAATAATCAGACTGAAATCAGAGAAGAATGTTAGCTGGTGCTACAAACAAGCAAGCAGCTGTGGCCAAATAGCCACAGTTGTTTGGCCTACACTAAAAAAATATTTACAAATTTTGGCAATAAAATCAAAGCTGATAATGGTCACCTGCTTCAGGGTCAAGCCTTCCACTGGGTTTTGTGGAATTTTGTTTTTTATCCAAATATAACCCCTCCACAGTCTCTAATAACTGGACTATTTGAGAGGTCTATGTAGAACCTAAAGGAATAAAGCCACAAAAATTATTCTATTTTTAGGGAAATAAAAATATTTCTAAGTGTATGAATTATTTCTGCTCAACCTTTATCAGAAAGCTTCTTCTGTTACAGTTTTGGTTTTAGCACCTTAGGAAAAGTCACAAAGTCCTTGGTAAAAGAGATGTAAAATAATAAGCACTGAACCACTTTTGGCACCAACAGTAGTTGGTGGAATGAGTAAGTACTTGACTCAAAGCCCCATTAAGTGCTGACATGTTTACGAGCCACATTTTATTACTGAATATACTGGGAATTAGGGAGTAGGGAAGTCTGAATCTGTTCCAGACTAAAAAGATGAATACATTCCTATCCTCATTTAACACTAAAGCTGCCACAGTCTGACTTTATCATGAAATTGTACAAACTGGAATATGAACTTAAAGGAGACAAGAACACCTGACAGCAGCCTGGCATGACTCTTTGATACATCTGGAGAGAAAGGGGGAAGGCCCACAGCCAAAACCATAGCTATTCTCAGTTATTGTGAGCTGACTGCATCCCAGAACAATGGGGCTTCTGGCACTGAATGTCACCCTTAGGAATCAGAAGGTGCAGGTGAGATCACATAAGGGTGATGTTGCAGCACAGAGCAGCCACAGAGTCTGCAGGGCTTTCTCACAACACCGGGATGGCCCCTGCAAACGAGACATAGGATTCTCCTGTTTATAAGCAGCATAAATCAAGAACCCAGGTCTTAAAAGAGGCACCATTCCTCCTGGAGATGTTTTGACTCCAAGCAGCTGTGCTTTTAGTGTGTAGGTGTGAGAAACATACAGGATCTAGGAGGTGACTGTGAACTCTTCATTTACAGAAGAGAAAAAGCAAATGAACATGCGACTCACTGGTGGTGACACAGAGAATGAGTCTGAGACATATACAGGTGTGGGGTTTACTTACTAGCAAACTCACTCCAGAAAGTGTCAGAAATGGCCAAAGAAAAATCAGCAGCAGCTAAGAGGGTCTGTGGTTGCACCAGGCTGATCACCAGTTGGAAAGGCTTCTTTCCTGAGGGCAGGCAGCAATGAGAAGGGTGATGAAAAGGGATCCAGGGTAGCCGGGGCCAGAGGTGGGAGCTGCCATCTGGGAGCAGCTTGGAAAAAGCAAAATTAATCATTAGAGAACTTGGCAGTACCAGCTTCCAGGACACTCCACCGAGCTGCCCCTGTTGCCCATAAGAGATGTCAGAGCTCAGCATCTTTTGAGACCAGATCTTGTTTGAGCTCTTCATAGCCCAGAACGACAGGCAGGGCATGGGGGCAGCAGGGTTTTCTGAACCTGCTGCTCTCAGGCTCTGCTTGTACACAGCAGAGTCAGGTGCCAGGACTTATCACAGCTCTTTGGCCTGACTTCCTAGTTTAGCATAACAACTTCTCTCAAAGTTCTAAACCTCCTTTGGTCTGTCATTTAGTCATTAATGTTAATTTCTTATTTTCCTTTGTTGTTATATATGCAATTATTTCCTAAATAATGCAATTACTTTAAGGCATGGACATATGTGGGACAACTCTTCTAGGCTTGTTTTTTTTTATATTTAAATAGCACACAATGCAATTTTTGAAGTGCCAAAATTTCTGAATCTACCTCAGAAGGCTCAGTCTGTGGGACTGTGGGACTGAATAATGTACTGGGCACATGACTTGTCTCATGACTTTACATGGGATTTAAGCCTATTTTTACCCTTCCTTTTGTCTTTCTCACACTAGAGTAATGCAAGTAAACCCATCATTTGACAAATAAAATCTGGCAGAAGGAAAGGAGATGCAGCTGCAGAGCTGGCTGAAGTGTGGTGATGAGGGTGCCAGCTGGCCAGTCTTTTCCCCATATAGATCTGAATGAATAGCTAAACTGCTCCACATCAGTGCTAGGTGACACCCAGCAGAGAAGGCAGCTTAAGCTCCTGACACTGAGCTAGGGGTTGAAACCGAATGTTTTCTGACCATCTGCACTCACTAGCCTTTCCATACTGTCAGAGCTGTACCTAACCAAGTGGTATACATGCAAAAAGGAGACCAAGGACATGATCCTGCCAGAATTCTAACAGCTACATGTAATCTGGCTATTGATTGGGGGGGGGAGCGGGGAAGTGTGAATTTCCCTTTAAGAGCTCTAAGAGCTCTCCCTTTGGTATCAAACATCTTTCTTCAACTGCTTTCTACACACTAGGGCTATTTCTTTGTTCCCTGTTCTCTCCTCTAGTTGGTAATAGAGCAGCAGGAGGAGCTAGCTGAAACCAGGGATGCGACTGCATTCCGGTTGGTGCATGCCTAATGAAACACTGTAGTACTTGTGGTCTGCCATGGGTTTGCCACAACCATTCCAGTCTTTTCTGGTGGCTCTTCTCTTCTCATGAAGTCAGTCATCTGATAAAACAAGTCTTACAATTATTTTTGTAACAGTAGGATTTATCCATGATTTAGGAAGAGAACTTTCTAACTTGTTATAAATGGAAGGAAAGTCAAAAAACATAATAACACAAGAAACAAAGACTATTTTGTTGAAGCCTACAGACAGAACTGGAAAATTACTTTGTTGAGATGGAAATTTGTCTTGAGGTTAGACTGCTGAATGCATATAACAGAGTGGAGAAATATGACCTCCAAATATGGGGTTTGATGAAGGAATTCCAAATGACAGGTTTTTGTGGAAATACAGTCTCCAGCTGCACTGATATGTCTCACTGCAGCTGTGTCAACAACACCCAATGGCCAAGATTAAAATGCTGAGATTCTTTGAGCTCGTTGTAAGTCAGAATGTTCTGAGTTCCCTACCTCTACTGGCAATATCAGCTGCATGCTTAAATTAAGGGGGAAAAAAAGTTTTTACTTGATGTCAAAAGTTCTCAATTATACAAAAAAGAAAAATCAGTCACATTGCAGACTGGTGAGAAGCTGCAGTAAGTCACTGAATGACAAATGGATAAGCAAGGAGGATACATTTGCTCCTAAAAGTCTAGGATAAAGGCATGGGGAGAACCAGGGGATGATAATGCATGAGAAGTAAAACTGTGCATAGTGTTAC